TTTTTCCGGGGCGGGGGGTGAAGGGGGAGCAGTGGAAAGATAAGGCTTATTCAGGGATCTCTCAAACAGCTTTTGTAGAACGGAATAGCTACATATACAATCCCGCAACTCAAAATGCCATTACAAAGAGTAAGTTTACGGGAGAAAGGGATGGGGTGGGGGTGGGGGTGTCTTCTTCCACTTGTGCGGGAGCAGGGGGTAAAGATAGAAATTTCTTCAACGGTAGGCAAGGCAGTTAAACCTTTCCAACCGTCCCGGCCGGTCCAACGGTCGCTTAGGCCAACTCAGACTCAGGCCATCCCAAAAGGTAGGCGAAAAACCTGGGGTGTCGCAGCGCATCCAGTTCCGGCTGCGGGGGGGAGGGGGGGCGGACGGACAGGGAAGGAGTGGGCCGGGCTCTCCGCGGACGTTGCAGCCGTTAGGGCTGTCTTCGGGGACATCCCACCCCTCACAGGCCCCCAAGCTCGAGGCGCTAGTGCCACCGCCGGAGGGGCGCGTAGGGGAGGGCTAGGGACTAGGGCGAAATCGCCAGGAGCCCGCCTGACATCTCCCCTAAGTGCACGGCCTCTCCACCTCAGCCCCAGCCAGGCCTCCCCCGGGAGCGGCGCGGTCCGTCCCGAAGTCCGTGCGGGAGCGTCCGCTAGGGCGGGCGAGCATTGGGGCGACGGCCGCCTGGCTCGCACCCACAGTCCCCAAAGTGCGCCCCCGACCCCTGCGCCCCAGCCACACACCGCCCCAGGCCGGACTCTCGGCTCCTCCCCGCCCCCAGCGGCGCCGGCCGCCCCCCGCCCCAGCTCGGCCCGGGGCCTCCCGAGGGCCCAGGGACCAGGTGGTGGTGGGGACCCGGGTCCGGAGGGTGGGGCGCTCAGGTGAGGGCAGCTCCGGGCCGACGCCGCCACCACACAAAGGACCAGGGGCTCCCGCCGCCATATTGAAAACTTTCCTCCTCACACGACAACTCGCAAGTCCCCCACCCCCACCCATCACACACCCCCGCACCCCGGGGAGGAGGCAGGGACCAGCCGCCGAGCCGGGCGAGCCCAGAGCCCTGCCTCCGCGCCCGCGCCTCAGCCGGGCCCGGGAGGGCTCCCCAGCGACCACCCCGGCGGCTGCCAGCGCTCCTGCAGCTGCCCGCACAGCAGCCCGGCCACGCAGAGCCCCGGCCCCCGGGAGCCGCACGGCCCGGCCCCCGGAGCCCGCCGTCCCCACTGCCCGCATCCCACCCGGGCCGGCCCCCCGCGCCTTGCCCCCCGTCGCCGCAACTCCCACCCTCGGAGCGACACCAAAGTTGGCCGGGCCCGCGGGGCAACCGCTCCCCGCCCCCGCGCCTCGGGCCTCTCGGGCCCCGCGTCCTCGCTCCCTCCCCCCAGCCGCGAGCAGGATCCGGGGTGCTGGCTGACTCACCGGCGGCGGCCGCACCTTACAGATCCCCGTCTGCTCGGCTATGGGCCGGATCTTGTGGATGAAGGCGAAGGGGTCCGCGAACTCTTCCCAGCTGGGCTCGAAGACCGGACACTCGGGGGGAGGCAGAAACTCACCCAGCGGGCCCGGGCCCCCGAGGGGCAGCGCCAAGCGCGGGCCTGGGGGCAGCGCGGTGGCCGGCTCCATCACCGCGACTTGGGCAGGGGCGAGCAGGGGGCAGGCTCCGCGACAGCGGCAGCGAGCTCCGCTCGGTCCGAAACCCGTGCACACGCACAGCTCGGGCGACAAGTCCGACTTCTACTAGCAACGGCAGCACCTAGGGCTTTTTCAGCCTTCCTCCGACGACGTCTTGCCGCTACCCCACGCCGTGCGCCTCCGCCGCCACGGCGAGGAAAAAAGTCCCCACTGCCACCCCGAGCCAGGTCTCGCCCCGCCCCCTAACCGGGAGGGGCAGGGTCCTTCCGCTCGGATGGGTTTTAGCCTAAATGGTTCGGTTGACCACTGAAGTTTCAGAATTTTTGCTCTCAAGAAGTTAACAGGCTAGTAGAGAGAACAGATCTGTAATCGATCATTTAATCACGTCATACACTTTTCCACGAAGGGTTTACATAGGAAAAACCCGAGAGATAGAGTACTGGAATTGAGGAGGGTTCTCCAGTTAGAGAAAGAGCTTGACACACGAACAGCAAGGATGGATGCAAACAATGGCAGGCAGAACAGTATAACACTGCAAGCCCTCGCTTTTCGTAACTGTGGTAAGCGCAAGTGCTTTGTGGGATTGTTTATGGTCTGTGAGGTGCCCAACTCCAACAGTTCAGACTATTTATTGGAAAGTGGGGGTGTTGCACAGAAGTCTACAGACATATATACAAGGTTGGACTTGAGCAAAAGAATCTTGAGATAATCCAGTCAAGAAATGATGGAGCCTAAATAAAGTCAGCAGCTACTGATTGGGGGGGAAAAAAGGAAGAAATTGTAGGAAATAAAAGTTAAACTAGGAAGGGATCATAGGATAGCATACTAAGGGCCTGGCATCTGTCTGAGTAGAAGCTGGCCAATTGGCATTGCTAAGACAAGTGTCCAGATTATGCCATTCTAGAGAAGATATATTCACACAGGTGCGTTGAGCTAAAGAAGTCTCCAATACAGACAGCAGATTTCCAACAGCTTAAAAGGAACACTGAAGAGATCAGAACTGGAGATATGATCCTAATGTTTCAAAGCAAGCAATGAAGTGCCAAAAGGTAGGAACTATGAAATACAAAATTGGGGAATGGCTCCCAGAAAAAGTCGAAAGAAGGTGACAGTAGAACTTCAATACTGAAATGATTATTTCTTTAATCTAGAAAGCAACCAACTCATGGAAACACTATTTGTCACTGTCTCTCTGTAAAGAGGGATCCGTGGATCCAGAGACCTTCAGATTAGCCTGGAAGAAAAAGATCTCTCTTAGCATTGGGGGAGGGGGGAGGGGGTTGTTGGGTTTTCTTTTTCTTTTGTTGTTGTTTTGTTTTTATTTTGTTTTTTTCAAGAGACAGTTTCCCTGTTTAGCCTTAGCTGTCCTGGACTCGCTTTGTAGACCAGGCTGGCCTCAAACTCATAGAGATCTGCCTCCCAGAGTGCTGAGATCACCACACCCAGCTGGTTTTTGGTTTTTTGAGACAAGGTTTCTCCATAGCCCTGACTGTCTTGGAACTCACTCTGTAGGCACTCTATGTAGCCAAAGATGACTTTGATCTTCCTGATCCTCCTGTCTTTATCTCTTAGGTGCTGGGATTACAGATGTATCCCCTCACACACAAACTATGCTTTTAAAAAAGGAAGAAGCTAGGTGTGGTGGCAACAGGCCTTTAAACCCAACACTTGGATGGCTGAAGCCAGCTTGATCTACACCAAGTTCCAGGCCAGCCAGATCTACATAAAGGGTTTCTGCATCAAAAAACAAGGAGCCTAGAGAGATGGCTCAGCTGGTTAAGGACATTTTGCTTCTGCCTTAGAAGACATAAATTTGAGTTTCCAGATCCAATGTACATCACCTCATAACTGCCTCCTCATTCCAGCTTCAGGGATCTCTTCTGGCCTCTACAGACAACACACACATATACATATACATACAAATTTTGTAAAGATTTATTATTTCTACAACATTCTGCCTGCACACCAGATCTTACTATAGATAGTTATGAGCCACTACGTGGTGGCTGGGAATTGAACTCAGGACCTTTGGAAGAACAGTGAGTGTTTTTAACCTCTGAGCCATCTCTCCAGACCACATAAATACAAATTTTAAAGTATTTTTAAAATACAAAAGTACAAAACACATTTTTCAATAAAGGGAGACATCCTTATTCTTTAATGAACTTCTTAGAGATACCTGGCCTCCAAAACAGTTCAGTGATTCCTGGAGAAAGCAAACCTTTTCTTAGCTTCCCAGGGCTTGGGAGCCTGAATAAGCCTTTTCGTGCTCCTGCCTGCAGATGAGATGGAACCAAAAGAACCAGGTAGCAACCTATTTTTTTTTTTTTTAATCATCGTTGTAAGATAAGGTGGCACAGGCTATAAAATCGTGGGGCAATCTAGGTAAAAGTTATCAAAGAATTTGCCCTTTTTTAAGTCAAGGTTTTACTATTTCTGACTAACCTGAAACTCACTTACATAGACCAGGCTGGCTTTAAACTCAAAGGTGCTAGGATTAAAGGCATGTGTCACATCACCCGGCTTGCCACATTTTTTAACCTTGCTGGTTTATTTTTCATGATAATATATTGAGGAGGGGGAAAATTGAGACAGGATTGCATACTTGTAGCCAAAGCTGGCCTGAAGTTCACAGTGGAGCCCAGCCTGACCTCATTCCCAAAGGCTGAAATTTCAGATGATCCATCATGTTGGCTGAGGGAAATCTTTTATTGTTGCTCTTGGCCCTGGGTGTTGCATGGTTGTGTGCGGTTGAGGGTCTTCCTGGAGTTGATTTCCTGTCACGTTCTCTGTGTTGGGAGAGCACAGGACTTTTACCCTCGACGTTAGCATCCTACAAACCAAGTAGGTTATAACTTTGAGACTTCTAGACATACATGAATTGTGGCTATGAAACTGAAGGGTACGAGCTTAGGGGAAAATCTCAGTTGTCTATGGACTAGGTATCTCACTCCCAACTTTCAAGGTCTACTAGTCCTGCTGCCTCCATTTCCGGTAGTGATCCGAAATGATGAGACACTACTGCTCTCAGATCAAGCAGCAGCTGTTTGGCACCACATCGACCCAAAGAGACGCTGAGGAAGCCAGCGGTTGCCAAGCTAGCAAAGAAAACCTAGGGCCTGAGAGGGACCTCTACTGAGGCAACAGCTCCCCCGCCCTACAGAAGACGCTTCCCCTTGCCCTTTATGATGTGTGTTTACATGGGCGGAGGGATCTCTCTCCAGCTGACAGCCACACCGCGGCCGGCTCTTCTTTTTTTAAAGAGCCTAGCCACAGGCGATGATTGGCCGCAGCCCGAGCCGCATCAGCCTCCGGGGGCGGGGCCCGGGCCGCATTGTCTAGTGTGGGGCCGCCTGGACGCCCCAGAGGCCGGACCTCGGTAACCCCGGCCTGGAGGTGCCGGGTCTGTGGTTCCCAGAGGGCCGGGAGCGAGGCCGGGCGGAGACACGGTGCCAGGTTCCTGGGGAAAGCGGGGCTGTAGCCCTGGCGGCCCGAGTAGAACCGAGCCCTCTCCGAGTGCCACGTCTCCAAGAAACCCCCTCCTTACTCTTGGACAACACTCCGCCTCCGCCCCGGACTCCGTCCCCCAAACCACCCCATGAGTGCTGGAGAGCCTTTAGGTACATCTCTAGGGATCGACGTCTTCCTGCGGCCCACTCAGCTGTCTGACCTCAGGCATCCCCAGCAGGCTGAGTTCCACCCCAGGCCTGCACCCCAAGAGCGCAGCCTGTGCCCTAAATCCGCCGCTGGTCTAAGAGCCGCTGGCCTCGCTCCTTCCGGTGGCCGCGCAGGGGAGCCCAGGCTTCTAGGTTCCAAACGCGAAGAGGGACTTTCCTCTCGCTCTCCGTCGCCCCCGCTCTCCCCCTCTTTGGTCGGGGTCTGCGCCACGGATGAGGGGGGCACGCCTGGCTCCCCAACAGCCCGGGAGGAGGCGGCGGCCGACGCAGCACGTAGCGCACGTGTGGGTCCCGCTCCCCACCCCCTCTGCGCCGCTGCCGCCTCGACGGGGCTCCGCTGTCGCCCGTATGCCACCCTTCCGCCCGGCCTCACTTCAGGGCGCCCTCGAGGTGCGTTGGGTCTACCACCACAGTTTATTTCCCGCCCCCTCTCCTGTTTTCCCAAGTATCCGCGATGCACCATCTCAGTTTCTCATCCCTAGCTCAGTGGTAAGATCTGAACTCAGCACCTTACGTGCTCTGTAATATTCGGTGTCAGGTGTCCCCTGGGGCAACCATGGGACGTGCCCCTGCTTTACTTGTTTTGTGTCTTTCCAGAACGTCTTGTTGCTGCTCTTTATTGCTGGTTTATTGCTCCTAGTCCCTGCTACCTCCTCAGCGCGTGCCCCACCTCTTGGTAAGCCGCTAGAGGGAAGGAATAAAGCCAGTACCGGGCACGTGGGGGCTGCTCCGCAAATATTTGTTGAAAGGCTGGGGAAATGGCCTTGAGTTTCTGTGGCTCCAATTGTCTGAGGATGAAGCTTTGGGCTGGACATGAAGAAGAATCTGCTTGTCCATCTTGTCCACAGGAAGAGTCTCCCAGCACGGTGGAGGAGTGTTGAGATAGCCCAGGCAGTAGGTGACTACAGTGAGATAAAGTGTCCTTCCTGTTCCCGGCCTGCTCACTTCCACTAGGAGCCAGCATCTCTCCTCAGCTGCGAGGCCTCCGCCTGGGCTATCTGTACTCTTTTGGTCCCCACCCCAGCCGACACTGATGAAGGGTCTCATTATGGCCTCTGTCCTTGGAAAGCTGATCTTGGGAAGGCATCTTTTGACTGAAAACCACTGCCTCGCCCCTACACATTTATGCAACACACAGGCAGGGGAGGTGGGGGGAGACCTTTCCTAGACCAGCGCTGCACCAGAGCTACCGTCCCGAACCCTCCCCCTCGACACTCCTGGAATCTCGGCTGACTCAGCTCAATTGAAAGCCAGAAAACTTACACCTTCGGTGTACCTGGGCGTGAGGCCCAAAGAACTAGACCCTTGTGTGGATCAGACACACTCAAGCGGAAAGTTCCCACGGTGGTTCAGGCCCTACCCACCCACAGGCTGGGAGGGGCAAAGCAACCCGCGCCAAGGCTTGAGCTTCAGGCTTTTCTTCCCATTCCAGTCAGGCCACTTTAGAGGCCTGACACTCTCAAGGAACAGTGTTGAGTATTTGTATGCTGTTTTGTTTTTGAGACAGGGTCTTGCTGTGCAACTCAGAATGGCCTCAGATTCACAATGTAACCCAGCCTGACCTCAAACGCAAAGCAGTCCTCCTGCTTCAGCCTTTCTTAGTTCAAGGCCAAGGAGCAATCTCGCGCTCCTGAAGGGTGAGAGGAAAGCCCTATCCCCTGTTTATCCAACAGCGCTCTTTCTTCTTTGGCATGAACAGCGTGTGTGTGTGTGTGTGTGTGTGTGTGTGTGTGTGTGTGTGTGTGTGTGTGTGT